GCTAAAACAGTTTTCAAACCAAAGCAGGGATCTCTTTCAAAGTGACAGATTGAAGCAGATGGCTGCAAAGTGTTTTGTGGCATTTCAAAGAGAGTTATCGATTGAATGGCTTTTTCTCTGCTTCTGGGGTTGTTAACAAAACCGTTGCCATTTTATTTCTATATATGGAGAAAGAGGAGGGAAGGCTGAGTGGGTATAAGGAGTTTGCTGAGTGATGGGTAGTAAATTTTGTCACTATATTAGACTCTTTGTCTTCCCAGAGCTCCTTTTAAGTAATAGGTTAATACAAGGGCTGCCACAAGGCAGAGGGGGCCAGGTTGTTCACCAGAGCACCAGAGAGTAGGATGAGAAACAATGATTGGAAACTGATCAAAGAGAGAAGCAACTTGGAATTAAGGAGAAACTTCTTGATAGTGAGGACAATCAACCAGTGAAACAGCTTACCCATCACTGGAAATTTTCAAGAAGAGACTGGACAATCACCTGTCTGAGATGGTATAGATTCTCCTGTTTGAGTAGGGGGCTGGACTAGAAGATCTCCAAGGTTCTATTCTATTCTATTCTATTCTATTTTATTCTATTCTATTCTATTCTATTCTATTCTATTCTCTGTGAGTTTACTTTGTAACCTCTTTACTTTCTCAATGTCATCAGCTTTAAGCCTGGTTACGGGAAATGTAGTAAGAGAGAGTTTTGTGTGTTTGTTTACTTAACTTCTGCACTAGTGTTGCCAGTGCACTGGGAATTCATCTTAACTTTCTGCACATTGAATAAAGCTGACTAGTTCAGGATGCACTCTTGGATTAACCGTGATTCAAATATGCACAAATGGCTAGCTTTAAAGGTCTCAGAAATGAAAAAATGGCTGCTAGGCCAACACTTAAAAGTGCTAGGACAAACTTTTATAAAGAATAGTGAATATAAGACTTATGAACTCTCTTTTTTCTATGCCAGCCTCTTTCTCCATGACTTGGCACTCAGTGTCATTGTATTTATACCAGGCTGTGACTGCCACTTCTGCTAGAATATCTGTCAGAGAATATTATCAGCAAATATACTCCTGAAACAGTCGGGTCTTGCTAGTGTGCCAGGGGTAGGGTTATCAGACCTCTGGCAAAAGGAGGACATACCTTCTTTGTCTTCATGTCCTCCTTTCAGAAAGCATAATCTTAAAATCAAATATTGTCGGTCTGTGTGTGTTTCAGTATCTAACAAACTTTATCTTCCTGAGAAGTTTTTCTCCGTGTGGGGCAGCCCTTCCTTAAGTGCTAACCATAAGTTAACAAGTTCTGCTCTCTGTCTTTAATTAGTTGATTAGTAGCCTCAGGCCAGCTTGTCCTGCTGCATGAAAGGACAAGTCTTTAATCAGTTACAGACTGAAAGCTTTTGCCTCCTAACTGGCTCTAGCACATTCTAGCTCTTCAATTTAAAAAACAAAACAAAACAGTCTTTCTAATGCTGGTAAAAGGAATCTCATATGTACTGTATGTAGGACTAAGTACATTTTGTTTGCAGCTTTCTACTGTAATTTTTCTTGTGGATGCTAAGAAACTTAAACAGTTTGTGTATCTCTCCCCCCCTCCCCCATTTATCCTCCTTTTTAATTGTCTTTGTCTTTCTTTGCCTGTTCAAATATCTGATAACCCGAACCAGGGGGTACTTTCCAAGACTGCCAATCAGATGTGCCAACCCTCCTCATACTCCACAATTCATTTTGATCAGAGGCAGCAAGAATTACACAATCTCAGGAGGATATTGGTCATTCTCCTGCATCATGCTAAGTGTGGCTTGGTGGTGGAGTCTTGCCCACCCGTAGAGGGCAGCAAATGTAGTTTTAAAGTGCAAACCCATCTGGCTTTCTAGTTGTACAACTATGGTTAGTGGAAGAAAAGCCAGTAAATAAGCAAATGAGGGAATGTCAGCTGTTGGAGGTGGGTTGGAGTGAGCAGACTGAGTATAGCTGGAACCCTGTCAAGCAACACTCCTGTTTACTTGGACAAGCCCATGGGAATATGTTCCAGTGGCAACACTATTTGGAATGTATGAACTTGAAAAAAAAGTTTGGGAACTTTTGCTCTATAGCAGTGGTTCTCAACCTTTTTGTTATCATGGACCCTCTTTAAATACCTTTTGCGGCCACGGACCATGGCCACGGACCTCCAAGACTTAACTCAAGATTTAAATCACAACATTTCTTCAAACCTTCACGGTCCCCTTGTGATGACGTCTGCAGACCACAGGTTCAGAACCACTGTAGGATTACACACTAACTTATTCCTGATATTTTTACCTGATCCTGTAAAAAAAAAGAGATGCTTCCCATTTTAGTTAATGAACAAATATTCAAATCAAATCTTGAAGTAGCTCAAATGAAACTGTTTTGCCCATTTTCAAATTTAAAGCTATGTATCCAATCAGGGTTGATTTACAGAGACCTAATATATTATCAAATGATGTCTTTTATATCCTAAAAGCATATTTCAAATAACTGCTGTTATAATACTTCATCTTCAAAACAAACTAAAGTTATGTCCATAATTATTGTACCAGATATAATTGTGTATAAGCCCATCTGAGGATAAGATGATCCTTGAGTTTTCAACCAAAATTGTAAAAAAATATTGTATCACCTGTGAATAAGTTGACCCTTAAAATATTTGTATGTTTTAATTTGCATAATAAGACTACCCATGTATAATCCACACATTATCTTCTTCATAATATTTTGAGGGTCACCTTATTTGTAGATGAGCCTATATATCAGGCTTTTCAATCTTTTCACCCATTGTACCACTTTTAGGATATGGCAACATCCGAGTACCACCAGTCGCCTAGCAAGGTGTCAAAAACTTGATGACCAAAAAAAGAAAAAGAAAAAAAATGATAAATTACAGGTAGTCCTCGACTTACAACAGTTCACTTAGTGACTGTTCGAAGTTACAATGGCACTGAAAAAAGTGCCTCCCAAGCCACAGCCGAGCAAGACAGTGCCCAGCGGTGCTCTTCCTCCTGTCCGAGGTTTTCATTGTTATGAGCATTTTTGTTGAGGATTGGCAACGGGGTGGGGTGGGGTGGGGTATTTGGTTTTTATTCCCCCCATCTTCTGGGTGGTTGCAGCAGGTTTTGATCACTTCACATGACCCTGGGTCACTGTGACCGTCATAAATATGAATCAGTTGCCAAGCATCTGAATGTAAATCACAAGACCCTGGAGATGCTGCAACATTCCAGCTGATCGGCGCTTCTTCTGGGCTCAGGAGAAGCACCAGGATCAGCGCCGAGCTCCAGCTGGAGCCTGGGACTGATCCTGGTGCTTCCGCTGAGCCCTGACAGCCCTGCAGCTCCAGCCATCTCTCACTCAGGCTTGTGCGGTGCTACCACCGGTTCAGCTCATTCCCCTCCCCCGCTACTTTTCTAGGATGGTCGCGTACCACCTGCCAGGTGCCAATGTACCACAGGTGGTACCCATACCACTGGTTGAAAAGCCCTGCTATACATGAATATGTACAGGATATACAGGTACTTAAAAAAAGATTGCTTTATAAACTCTCGGATAAGGCTATCTGCAGGTAAGATGAATCCAATTTTGGGGATGAGTTTTGGTACATCAAGTTCTCAGGTTTTTTAGAGCATATGTAGTAGTGATATTTTTTAACAAATCACTGCAATTCGGGTTTAAATAATTCACAACAATGTGTGGGAAATCTTTTATGTTTATGACAAAAAAGTCTTCCTGTCCTTAGATGTTGTGGGTTTTGTTTTTAAAAATTAATATTGTAAGATCATGAATAAAATCAATTGAAATGTATCAATTGCATATACAATTCAGATCACGTTTAATGAGAGATACCAGGAAATGAAAGAAAATAGAAGTATTGTAAATATGTCAATGTGCAGTTTTTGCTATGAGATTACCTTCATATAATCTTCATGTGATTTTCAGACAAGGACAGTGTGCTTCCCAACTTAATACTTTCTAAATTGATTTAGTTTATGACTCCCAAATTCAACCATCCTGGATCTTTAGACCAACTAATGCTATCTAGACTTGGTGTCCAATTATCTGTGAATGATCAGTGAATGGATTTTTCCTTTTGATGCCAAATGTCCAATACATTTCTTTTGTATCGGCTTTATGTCAGTTTTGTTTTAACATATTGGTTTGGAAGGGGCTTAAACCAGTATGTATCATCAGTGCCTTCATGTACAAAAGTGGGGTGCATAAAGATTTTGCCATCAACATCTGAATTGCATTATCAGTTTTATTTTCAATTCAGAATTTAATTTTTGTTTTTGTAATGCCATATGAGGTACACATCTAATAAGAAAAAACAGAAGTCTTTAAAGCAAACTAAAGGTTGTTTGCTGGTATGTAGGGGTTTGTGTGTGCATTTGAAGCTAGATGAATATTCTTATATGGGTGTCCAATGTTTGAGAAGTGAAAGTTCAAAAAAGATTGTTGCAAAGAACTTTAAATAGTAAGTTTATGTTTTATGAGTGATAAAGGAAAGAAGTTCGAACATAACCACAGCTAATATGCAGTGGGATCAATCTTTGCTATAGTGATGTCCAGAACTGTGCGGGTCAGGAGTTTCATTTTCAACATCATAGCTGAAGCGGGTAGACAGAAATAATTTGTTTTCCTGACTCTACATGACATTTTGACCTCCTATTGAAATGTGTTGTTGTATGGTCATTTACTTTACTCTTCGAGTACCATAGGAAATAATAACAAATGTTCCTAGCAAGAACATAACAGTACACAGATCTTTATAAAAATAGTGATATTCCACTTGACCTACAAAATTGAGAAAGGACTCAGAAACGTTTTGTGTTCAACACTAAAGACAAATGATTTTTTTAGACCAAACCAGATGAACTTTTAGCTGCTCTGTACTCCCAATAATACTTTAGTGAAAAGACTCATGTTAGGTGCAATAAAATCGGTTATCATGGGAAAATAAGTTTCCTGATTCTCAATGTCCCTACTTTCTTTGCAGGTCTTTCTTATGGTTCCTGGTGACTACACATCCTCCCACGCTTGCTCATTACAACAGTTAGTGCTTCACAGAGGTCCTGCAATGGACATTTACTGCAAGTAAGTTAAATTGGAGGTGAGAAAAAAATATTTTGGTGGCATACAACTTTTCATGTTAAATTCAGACTCTCTTGGGCCCATAATTCAAAACTAATTCTAATTAATATTTTGATCCTCTCTTGCCATTTATACCTCCATCAGAAAACAGAATGAGATATAGTACTAAAATACGTTCAGACTATAATCTGTATAAGAAATACTGGTCTTTTTTTGTCAAGAGTTATTTCAAAAGCTGGAACTAAAAAAAAGATGCCCAAGAATATTAAATCTGTAAAAAGAAGTACCACAATAAACTTAGTGTTTATTTTATAAGCAGATAAAAAGACATTTGTAAAATCCTTTTCTTTTTTAAAAAAAGATAAGCAGGAGTGAGACATTTAAGAAAGTAAGAAAAAAATTTAAAAATGTAATCTGAAGTTTGGTGTCTACATCACTTGGATGAGGTTATGATTAATTTTATGTCGGTCTCCAGATGTTGGAGCTTTATCCATTTTTAAAAATATCTCTAATGTTTACCAGGATATATGTGAAGTAAAGTCTTTAACAAAGTTCTCTTTCATAAACCTAGGCTCTAGTTCCAAAACAGAATCCAGGAAATATTTCTGACCAAGAGCTGGATGAACAAGAAGTTCAAGGGGGGGTACTAAAGAGAGGAAAAGAAGCCCATAAAAGATGAGAAAAGCTGAATGCTTGCCAAACATATTTAGGAAAATTATGGATAGGCACCAAATGTCCCATTTACATTGTATGAACACTCTCCTTTTGGTGCTTATTTGGACTGGCATTGCAACGGCACAGAAGGACTGCACAGGTGTGGAGTGTAAGCAGCCAGAAAATTGCATTGAAGAAGTTCTAGAACCTGGAGAATGCTGTGCTTCTTGTCTGCAGCATGGCTGTACTTGTGAAGGATACCAGTACTATGACTGTGTGAATGTGGGCTTTATGAATGGAAAAGTGCCTGAAGGACAGTCCTACTTGGTCGACTTTGGAAGCACCGAATGTTCTTGTCCCAAAGGTGGGGGTAAAATCAGCTGCCAATTTATGTTATGCCCAGACCTTCCACAAAACTGCATTGATGCTGTCCTACCAGCAGATGGATGTCCCGAATGTGGAAGAATAGGCTGTGTCCACGAAGACCAGAAATATGCTGCAGGACATACATTCCACATGCCTACGTGCAAAGTGTGTCATTGCCCTAATTCTGGCGGTGACCTCATGTGCTATCAGCTCCCAGATTGCAATGAATCCATGTTAACCTCCCCTAATCCATCTGATACCGTGGAACTAGAACAGCACTACGATGATCCCTACAGTTACGACCAAGAGGCACCAGGAGATGCCACTCAGGTGGAGCCACCCAAAAAGAAAAAGTTCTACAGTTATTCAGCACATTTGGAACAAGAGAGCACAGGCCAAGAACAAAGTGAGGATTATGACTACCTTGCAAGCAGTGTAACTCCCCCTTCACTGACTCAGTCTATTTCAGACCCAGCAAGGCAGCAACAAACAAGCACAGATATTCCTCTCCTAAACCATCCAGAAAAAAGGAGCAACAATGCAAATAGCAAGGTCAGGATGAATACAAGCACACTATCAACAACCAAAGTACCACAAAGATATAAGATGACCACCACAAATAGTGTTTTAAAGGAAGAAGTCGTGGCAACCACTGAGACGCCCTGGAATGCGGCAGAAGCCGAGAGACAAAACGCGATCAGCCATGAGAGAATTGAGCAAGGAGAAAATTCCCATTTTAGGATCAAACTGAACGTGAAGAAAGACCAGAAATCAAAAGTACCCAAATCATTGGATTTCAAGGAATCCAAAGGAGATAACTTCCCTGAAGTCAAATTTAATCCGACGCCTTCATCGCTGATTGCCCTGAAAGAAGATCACAATTGGATAGCCCCCAAACAATCTCAAACACTTTATCATTACCAGCCTGATGAAGATGTGGATCCCAACTCTGTTCACACGACCTCCAAATTGTCAGCAGGTAAGATTTTTGTTTCAGTGCCTTAATGTTAAATCAGTAAACAGTAAAGCAGGACTGCTGCCTGTTTGCTACAATAATGAAAGGTACAGGTTGTCCTCAACTTACAACAGTTTGTTTGGCGACAGTTCCAAAGTTACAATAGCACTGAAAAAAGTAACTTATGTCCATTTTTCACACTTACGACCGTTGCAGCATCCCCATGGTTATGTGATCAAAATTCAGCTGGTTTATATGTATTTCGGCTGCATAGATACAAACAATGTGATCAGCTTTTGTGACCTTCAGAATGGGGAAACCAGATTCACTTAATAACAGTGTTACTAATTTAACAGCTGAAATGATTCATTTAACAACTGGGGTAAAACTCACTTAACAAATGTCTCACTTAGCAACATAAATTTTGGGGCCAATTGTGGTCATAAGTTGAGGACTACCTGTAGTCTAATACTTGCAGACTCGGGCGTCACAAAAAAAACCACCTTAGCTCTTTGTAGAATAGTGATGCATAGTTTTAGTGAAAATCAGTGGATAACTGGTGAGCTGCAATGTGATTTTCCATTTTTCTCTTTCTTTGAGAGGTTATCTAACATTTAGACTTTTTAATCATTTGATTTGATGGAAAAGAAACAACTTTTGGATTTTTTTTCTCCTAAAAGAAAGGAAAATTTGGATGAAATTTTCATGGCTGGGTTCTGACTAAGAAGGGAGTGCGAGTATTTTGCTGTCTTTTATTGTATAATAATTATTAAAGTTTTTCACCTTTCTAGCTTTGCAGACTCCCAAAACAAGATATCATAAGAACATTTCCTCCTATGGAGAAGTAGAGACAGCCAGTAAGTAGCAAGTAGCATCTTCTACCAGTTACAAAAAGTTCATAACCAGCCCCAAATTTTCCCCCACCCTTTTTAATGAAAACATACTGTGGATACAACAAGCAGGGTGGGCCTTTTCACAGATGAAGATACTTTTACAGAAATGTTAACATATCATAAAAATGTTATTGCTATCTCTTTTCCTTTAATTCATATATCTTCATTAAATATATTTGATTTGATTTAAGTAGACACTTGCCATTGAAAAGGAAAAATTAAAGTTTGAGTTTAAGTGGCTTTAAAGATTTGATGAAAATATGAAATTATTACCTTTATTGAAAAATTTAATAAAGGGCAATGTTAAGTAAATTTCTAATCCATATTTGTTACTGACAAAATTTAACAATGTCTTAATTAAATTAAACTAAACTTAATTAAATTAAACTAACCTCAATAACTGCTGCATATATTATATAACATTAGCTCAAATAGCAATGTAACATGGTTTATGACCTGTACTGAAAAGGAAGCTGCTTGCTGCTTTGAAAAAGAAATTCTTCTTTAGTAATGGCTTTGCTAAATGAGCAGTGTTTATGTTAAATCCCTCCATGTATTAATAAAATTATTAGACCACCTCTTAGGACAATCTTTGTAGATTTGCTTGCTGCAGATAGCTTTGTCACGTGTTGAAAAGAACCAATGAGGTTAGCAATCTGAAATTGAAACAGAGAAATGATCAATGTTTCCACCCAATCAATGGGTACTTCCAGTGAGCCAGTCACTCATTGCCATAGGGACACTGAGTTTATGCTCTTGTGGCAAAATTGGCCAGATGCAACCACCCTATATGCATGAATGGAGTTAATACAATGTTATGTCAGTCTATGTTATGGAAACTCTAGAAGTGACATGTCTATGGAGATTCTCAGTCATCCAGGTCACACTTTGTTTTTCCTTGAAGACATTTTGCTTCTCATCCAAGAAGCTTTTTCAGTTCTGATTGAATGGTGGAGGATGGAAGGATTTATATTCCTTGCAGTCATCTGGTTGTTAGCATTCTTTCTGAGAGTCGTTAAGGCCACTTGGAGGTTTATCTGTGCCCTCAGGGTCACCTGAATAATGCAAATGGGTATGGAACATTCTTGGAACTGCTGAAAGGACTTTGTTGTAAACAGAAAATAGGTGGTGTCTTAACGAGCTGGAAACAATGATCATTGCACATGCATTTGCACTATTCAGGTGACCCTGAGGGCCATCCAAAAGGAAGAGTGCTAATGACCAGATGACTGTAAGGAATATAAATCCTTCCATCCTCCACAATTCAGTCACAACTATACAAGCTTCTTGGAGGAGAAGCAAAAACAGTCTTCAAAGAAAAAAATAAAAACAAATTCCAGTTGCCTTTTGAAAAAAGTACCTTTGGGTCTAGAAGTGACAAGGATGAGATTGCAGTTAGAGTAATTAAAAGAAAGACCACTACAGTAGTATGGAGTTCCCTCTAAAGTTACACTATTTATTATTTTAAGACAAATTGATGATATCACTTTTCTGTCATGAAAATATTTTAATATGCTGACCATCATATTCAATTATGCCCATGCCACATATCTGAAAAAACTTACAGGAAACCCCGATTGTTAAGGAGCTTGACTTTTGTTACATTTCTTCTCTGTAACAAAGAGCCATGAAATGATCCTTTCCTGTTCCCATTGTGATAAGATGAGAAGTGAGATCAGATCATAATGGATGTTGCCCAAAATAAACCATGCTTGTGATCTGAAGATTGCTGGGCTTGCCTCTCCCTTTCCTGTCACTCAGAGAGCCTCCATGCTTGCATTTCTCATGTGTTTTATTGCCAGGTCTAACTTAATTGGTCACGCTTGCCATCCTAATCAGAAGGAGACCTGACGGGTTTGGATTTCATTACAATAATATCCTGACTCAAGTTTAAAAAAGCCCAGTGCCAAAAGATAAAATCCATTTATTTGTACAGTAAATAGGCTAAATTCCTGGCTGCTGAGCGTTTTAAGTTGGGAAGCAGCCATCTCATGACCTAAAGCACACATGCAGAAGAAGATATCTATGGAGAAAGAGAAAGAAAAAGATTCTTCTGCATATTGACATCATTAAACTCCCAGTAGAGTGAGCAACCAGTTATTCCATTATACAGTGGAAGGCATGTAGAAATAATTTCACAAGATAGCAACCCTTGGTTTTGAGAAACAAGACTCTTGAGCAAGATATCCTCGGTGATTCTCCCGCCCCTTGACAAATCCACTCCCTGACAAAGTTCTTACTAGTCGTTCAGTCACTCTTCCTATTCAGAACTAGCATGAGTGTCAAGCCAGGCCAGTCAGGAGATCCAGCCAGTTCAAATGTGTATAAAGATTTATTGTAAGCTTAAGCTGTCTACAAGAATCTGAACTAATAACAGTGAAGGGAAATTAATGGAGTTAAGAATAGAAAGGAATTCAAGGTGGGCCTGATTTAGATCTCTTACAGGCATATAGGGACTCATGACTGATAATGTGTTTGACCTATCCCTTGGGCTCAACTTGGTCATCTCCTACAATGGGGAAACCATGGATTTCCAGAACTACTTCTTTAAGCAAGCTTGGCTGGCAAGGCCTACGATGAGTACTGCTGGAAGTTGTAACTCAGCAACAATTTATTTGTGTAAACCATACCTGCACTGATATAAGAAGTGGATGTTGATTTTTTTTTCTTTATCTATTCTGCCTTAATGAGAAGAAGAATATCTGGAGCAAGGAACATTAGAACTGAGGCATTCTGTCCTGGGATACAAGCCTAAATCCTTTCAAGAAAACACTGTTTAATACATGTTCTGTATCCTAGGATAGATTGGTGCTTTACCATGTATTGGTGCTTCCAGTCAGACTTGTTGAAACTTTCTCTGTGACAAAGCTGGAACAAAATGTAATAAAATATAAGTTGGTTGCTAGTAAAAGCAACTTTACATATCCTTCTGCTTCTCTTCTCAATGATAATATGAAAGCTGTGATGTCCCTATACTGCGTCCACTGATTATGATGGCATTATATCAGGTATTACTAGATGTTTATGTGTAGAGATGTTGAAAAGAGATGACTATGGTTTTCACAGGCAGTTTGGCATGTTTTATCCTGCCTAAGAGAACCACTGGAAATTCCTAGGCCTAAACCACAGAGATCAGCACCAAAGCTCCAGTCAAAGATCAGAGCTCAGATCAAAGTTAGAGAACAAGCTAAAAGAAATTAAAAAGGTAAAAATTTGTGAGGAATTGCTTTTACAACTTGAACTAAGAATCCTTTATTTTTTTGGAAATTATGTACATCTCCAGCAAAAAAAAATATCTCACAGTTGTTGTTTTGGGGAAAAAGGAGGAAGGAATATTGGACAATGTTAGCGATTTTGCGTTATTTATAAAAATAATAAATGGATATAAATAAATAAATTTGGCAAAAAAGCAATATTCAGACATGTGAAATGTAAATAAATATAAAAATAAATAAGATGTTAGAAGCATGTCACAATGGAAGCTTCTCCCTTTTTGTATTGCACCCATGTATAAAAGGGATGATGGTTCTTTTTCATTACCACTTCCAGCATCTTGCCTTTTTTTGGGAGATCCCATACAGGTGACCCTGCCTAATGTAGATTGTTACCCCTCTGCACCTTTATTAAGCTACAATTGAGCATGGAGTTTTGTAGTAAGTGGTGGCATTTAACTAGCTTTGGACTTGGAAACAAAGCAGGTGAAGGCGGCTTCTGAGACAGGAAAGCATCAGGAAGTAGGCTAAATTAGGAAGTAAGCAGATATCTGCAGTGTTTTCAAAAAACCTTCATGGATGTTTTCACAAAGTCATCAAGAACTTGGTTCAGACTGAAGGAAGGTTTACTTTTAGTGTATTTCATTTGTGACATATCAGATAGTTTAAGTCTGAAGTATTCTGAGATGTGTAAATGTGTTTGTAATAAATAAATAATTATAGTTCTTGCAACCATAAACCACACTTGCATCTTCATGTTTAGAGGTTGCTGAAATAGTTCTCAGTACTGTTTTTGGTGCCACTCAATTTCTTTAGTCTTCCTACTAATAATCCCAGTGTAGGCACTATGAGTACATTCGACATAATTTAAAAGGTTAGCAAAAGTCTATTAGACTGAATAAAGTTTTGTAGCTGTAGTAGTGAATTTAGGCTCCAATGAGAGAAAAAAAACCCAGAAATAGCTAGTGCCTCCAGAAATAATCATACAAATTTTTAGACCATGATTACAGTATACTTCCCCCAATCCTGTCTTCTAATGTTTAACTTCATTGCATCCTGAGCAATGGTCCCAATTCCACAATAAAATTTTAATTATAAACTCAGAGCAGCGGAAATGAGATCCAGATTGGTGATTTAGAAATTAAGAAGAAAACGTTCTATACATTTTAAAGCTTTTTTTTTTTAAAAAAATCCAGCCTTCTTTAATCTCAAATTGGCTTATATTGATTAAAACAATTACATAATTTCTGCAGTGTATCTACGTTTAAGAGACTAAATAACACATGAGAATTTTTTTTTAAAAAAGGCCAAGATTTAAAATACCAGAAAGGCTGGAAAGTGACCTTAGCATCTGGCTGGATGAGGTGGAAGAAAGTATTTAGTTAGATTCTGGGCTCCAGGGAAGCAATTTTGAAAGACCATCTCTCTTAACATTTCAACAATTGCCCTCTGGAACAGCTGCAATTTTCAGGCCAACTTCAAAGGCAGCCCCAGGTAGATAAATGCTAGCAGTTATCTGAATGGAGTTCTTTTGAGAAAAGGATAAGCTTGATTAGACTTGTTCTTGTTTATATATCAGTAGAAATGTTGCAACAACACAACGGTGTACATATCAGGACTGCACAGGTTTCAGGAATCAAAGCATTTGTGTTATATTTTCTTACAAAAACAGGTGATTGGAACACTTTATTTTTCAAAACAGGAATGTTATAAAGAATGTCATAATTAGGATTGCTTTCTCTCATCATTGGG